AAAAACTAAATTGAAAAATCAAACACCTAGAAATTAGAATTGAAATTTGGAACTAAAAATAAAAAAAATTGAAAACTGTAAAGTTACAAAATAGAAAAACTACAAAATTATTAAACTGAGAAATCGAGCAGTTGGAAAATGAAAAATTGAAAAATTGAAAAATCGAAGGAATCCATAACCGAAAAATTGAAAAATCAAAAAATTGGAAAATTTGATAATAGAAAAATCAAAAATTGAAAAATTCGTTCATTGAAAGCCGAACAATTGACAAATTGAAAAAATGTAAAAATATAAAACTGAAAAATCAAGAAATTGCAAAATTACAAAACCGAAAAAATGCATGATTTTAAAGTTGAAAAAATGAAAAATCATATAACAGGAAAATACCTAGAAAAATCACAAAATTCAAAAATCCAACATTTGCAAAATTATGAAAAATAAAATATTTGGAAAATTGAAAATCGAAATTTTGAAATATCAAAAATGAAAAAATCGAAACTGAAATTCGGATAATTGAAAAATAGAAAATTGAAAAATCGGATACCTTTCAAACGAAAAATTATAAAATAAACTGAAAAATCAAAAACCTGAAAAATTAAAAATGGACTTTTGAACAATTAAAAATAAAAAAAAAAATGTAAAACTGTAAAACTATAAAATTGAAAAATCGAGTAGTTGAAAAATGAAAAACCGAAAAATTGAAAAATCGGAGGATTCTACAACCAAAAATTTTAAATATTAAGGAATTGGAAAATTTGATGATTGAAAAATCAAAAATTGAAAAACTGAAAAATAAAGAAGTTGCAAAATTAAGAAACCGAAAAATCGCATAATTTTAAAGTAGAAAAATTGAAAAATCAGACAACAGTAAAAATCTAAAAAATTACAAAAATGCAAAATTATGAAAAATAAAAAAAATGGAAAATTGAAATTCGCAATTTTGAAATTTCAAAAAATTAAAAAATTAAGACAATGAAATTTGGATAATTGAAAAATCAAAGATTGAAAAATCGGATTCTTTTAAAACGAAAAATTGTAAAATAACTAAATTGAAAAATCAAACACCTAGAAATTAGAATTGAAATTTTGAACTAAAAATAAAAAAAAATTGAAAACTGTAAAGTTACAAAATAGAAAAACTACAAAATTATTAAACTGAGAAATCGAGCAGTTGGAAAATGAAAAATCGAAGGAATCCAGAACCGAAAAATTGAAAAATCAAAAAATTGGAAAATTTGATAATAGAAAAATCAAAAATTGAAAAATTCGTTCATTGAAAGCCGAACTATTGACAAATCGAAAAAATGTAAAAATATAAAACTGAAAAATCAAGAAATTGCAAAATTACAAAACCGAAAAAATGCATGATTTTAAAGTTGAAAAATTGGAAAATCAGAAAACAGGAAAGTACCTAGAAAAATCACAAAATTCAAAAATCCAAAAATTGGAAAATTAAGAAAAAAAAAATTTGTAAAATTGAAAATCGAAATTTTGAAATATCAAAAATTAAAAAATCGAAACTGAATTTCGGATAATTGAAAAATCGAAGATTGAAAAATCGGATACCTTTCAAACGAAAAATTATAAAATAAACTGAAAAATCAAAAACCTGAAAAATTAAAAATGGACTTTTGAACAATTAAAAATAAAAAAAAAATGTAAAACTGTAAAACTATAAAATTGAAAAATCGAGTAGTTGAAAAATGAAAAACCGAAAAATTGAAAAATCGGAGGATTCTATAACCAAAAATTTTAAATATTAAGGAATTGGAAAATTTGATGATTGAAAAATCAAAAATTGAAAAACTGAAAAATAAAGAAGTTGCAAAATTAAGAAACCGAAAAATCGCATAATTTTAAAGTTGAAAAATTGAAAAATCAGACAACAGTAAAAATCTAAAAAATTACAAAAATGCAAAATTATGAAAAATAAAAAAATTGGAAAATTGAAATTCGAAATTTTGAAATATCAAAAAATTAAAAAATTAAGACAATGAAATTTGGATAATTGAAAAATCAAAGATTGAAATATCGGATTCCTTTAAAACGAAAAATTGTAAAATAACTAAATTGAAAAATCAAACACCTAGAAATTAGAATTGAAATTTTGAACAATGAAAAATAAAAAAATGGAAAACTGTAAATTTACAAAATAGAAAAACTACAAAAAATAAAAAAAAATGGAACAATGAAATTCGGATTATTGAAAAATCAAAGCTTGAAAAATCAGGTACCTTTAAAACGAAAAATTATAAAATAAACTGAAAAATCAAAAACCTGAAAAATTGAAAATGGGATTTTGGACAATTAAAAAAAAAAAAAACGTAAAACTGTAAAATTATTAAATTGAAAAATCGAGCAGTTGAAAAATGAAAAACCGAAAAATTGAAAAATCGAAGGATTCCATAACCAAAAAATTGAAAAATCAAGGAATTGGAAAATTTGATAATTGAAAAATTAAAAATTGGAAAACTGAAAAATAAAGAAATGGCAAAGTTAGAAAACCGAAAAATCGCATGATTTTAAAGTTGAAAAATTGAAAAATCAGACGACAGTAAAGTATCTAAAAAATTTCAAAATTGCAAAATTATGAAAAATTTGGAAAATTGAAATTCGAAATTTTGAAATATCAAAAAATTAAAAAAATAAGACAATGAAATTTGGATAATTGAAAAATCGGATTCCCTTAAAACAAAAAATTGTAAAATAATTAAATTGAAAAATCAAACACCTAGAAATTAGAATTGAAATTTTGTACAAGGAAAAATAAAAAATTGGAAAACTGTAAATTTACAAAATAGAAAAACTACAAAAAATTAAAAAAAAATGGAACAATGAAATTTGGATAATTGAAAAATCAAAGCTTGAAAAATCAGGTACCTTTAAAACGAAAAATTATAAAATAAACTGAAAAATCAAAAACCTGAAAAATTGAAAATGGCATGTAAAACTGTAAAATTATTAAATTGAAAAATTGAGCAGTTGAAAAATGAAAAATCGAAGGATTCTATAACCAAAAAATTTAAAAATCAAGGAATTGGAAAATCAAAAATTAGAATTTAAATTTTGAACAATTAAAATTGAAAACTGTAAAGTTACAAAATAGAAAAACTATAAAATTATTAAACTGAAAAATCGAGTAGTTGAAAAATGAAAAATCGAAAAATTCAAAAATCGAAGGATTCCATAACCGAAAAATTGAAAAATCATGAAATTGGAAAATTTGATAATTGAAAAACCAAAAATTGAAAAATTCATTCATTGAAAGCTGGACAACTGACAAATCGAAAATATGTAAAAATATAAAACTGAAAAATCAAAAATTTGGAAAATTAAAAAAACAAAAAAAGGCATGATTTTAAAATTGAAAAATCAGACAACAGTAAAGTACCTAAAAAATTTACAAAATTGAAAAATCGAAAAATGGCAAAATTATGAAAATCTAAAATTGGAAAATTGAAATTGGGATAATTGAAAAATCGGATAAAAAATTAAAATTGAAATTTTGGACAATTAAAAATAAAAAAATTTGAAAAATCGAGCAGTTGAAAAATGAAAAACCGAAAAGTTGATAAATCGAAGGATTCCGAAAAATTGATTAAAAGCTGGACAAATGAGAAATCGAAAAAATGTAAAAATGTAAAACTGAAAAATCAAGGAATAGCAAAATTACAAAATCAGCAAATCATATGATTTTAAAGTAGAAAAACTGAAAAATCAAAAATTTGGAAAACTGAAATTCGAAATTTTGAAATATCAAAAAATTAAAAAATTAAAACAATGAAATTTGGATAATTGAAAAATCAAAGATTGAAAAATCGGATTCCTTTAAAACGAAAAATTGTAATTAGAATTGAAATTTTGAACAATTAAAAATAAAAAAAAAATTAAAACTGTAAAGTTACAAAATAAAAAACTACAAAATTGTTAAACTGAAAAATCGAGCAGTTGGAAAATGAAAAATCGATAAATTGAAAAATCAAAAATTGAAAAATTCATTCATTGAAAGCTGGACAATTGACAAATCGAAAAAAAACTAAAAATTCAAAAAATCAGACAACACCTAAAAAACAAACAACATTGAAAAATCGAAAAATGGCAAAATTATGAAAAATATAAAATTGGAAAATTGAAATTGGGATAATTGAAAAATCGAAGATTGAAAAATCGGATAAAAAATTAAAATTGAAATTTTGGACAATTAAAAAAAAACTGTAAAACTGTAAAATTACAAAATAGAAAAACTACACGGAGGTAGAAAAACGTGAAAAACTACAAAATTATTAAATTGAAAAATCGAGCAGCTGAAAAATGAAAAACCGAAAAGTTGATAAATCGAAAAATCAAAAATTTGGAAAATTGAAATTCGAAATTTTCGAATATCAAAAAATTAAAAAGTCGAAACAATGAAATACGGATAATTAAATAATCGAAATTAGAAAAATTGCAAAATTATAAAATTGAAAAATCGAATAATATAAATTTGAAAGTCATTTACTCGGAAAATTTGTAAGAAGACGAACAAATTTTCATCAACGATTCCAAATAACCTCAAAATATTTGCAAGATTTCACAGCATTCGGTTTTCGGAGTTTCAATGTTAAATGGTAAAATATTGTTATAGATTGATTTTTTCCTAAGAATCTACATTCCAAGATCGCTGAACACGGATTCTTAAATCGCACATGCGACTTATAAAATGACGTCATCATTTTTAGAGGGCATAGACGAAACATTATTAAGATTTAATTTTTCCCAAAATTATCGCACGAAATTCGTCAAACTTAACACCAACTTCTACCTCCAATAAAATCAAAGATGACTTAACCCAGCCCATCTTTGACTTAACCGGAAATTTTTCTAAATAATACATACAAGTGTTTACATCCCGTGTTCTCTGAGTCGTCCATCTAACGGTACGATTAAGGTTTTTTCCACCTAAAATTTCGATACCGTTCCAATTCAAGCGGCTCTTGCGACTTTTATGAGAAGATACTAACCGTTTCTTATTATCCGGTTGTGGTCCGGGGATCCGGAATAAGAGCGCCTTCTACTGGTTAAAACCTCCCGTCTAGTAAGAGCCCCCGGACTTACTTGGATGAACGGCAGGCAGGAGAAAAACTGTTTGAATCCCCTACGGAATCTGGAATCAAATAAAATAACAATCAAAAAAATCAACGGATAAATGGACTGCAACAATCGGATTTGCATAAAGCCGTTTCGATTATCGACTTTATAAAAATAAAACCCGAATAAAATTTAGGTTTATGACGCGAGTTATGGGGGTTTTAACGACCCGTGAAGATCATGAATTCGTAATTTAGCATCTCGGTTTTAATATTTATTCTTTCGGATTGCTCCGGCGACGAAATCAACATTAAAGTCGAAATTAAGTAGCAGTGACGCAAATTCGACTACTATATTTTTTTTAGAAATTGGGAAACGTGTTAGAATTTGTCCATAAAATAACTATTTGTTAATCCAGCCGACTTTAATACCCGGAATGAAATTTACATTCGATCTGCTATAAATAATTCAATTCTGTTGAGAGCTTCACAAACATATCACTTCGCTGTGCTCCGTATCGATATTTCGTTAAAAAGACTCCTCTCATCGGTCCCATTTAGTGCGTTTTTACCCTTTTAAACTGATCCAGTTTGTTTCAATTTCCGGTGTGGTCTCAATGTGCCTTACTTGTCCCATAAATTGTCATTATATCAATAAATTGTTCCCTGATTGCCCCGGAATGTGACCGGAAATGAGAGCGGTTCGCTTTTAGCGCTCCTGAAATTGAAAAATACATGGTCCTGGTTTTTGTTTTAAAGGATGCTGGTTATAATTACGATCAGGTTAAACGCATCACGTAATCCATCAAGTTCTGCGTGACGCATCGATACGTCAATGTCGTGCTACCATTGAGCACACAAGAGTATCTCGCGTGGTGTGTGGAACTATCTATGGAGTCCTTTTGAGGCGGCTCTTCGACGTGATTGGTTTGGATAATGATCGGCCAAATCTGGCGACTATTTTTGTCGCCGAGATGAAAAGGAGCTTGAGGCTTTCTTTTAATTATTGATTGTGGGGTTGAAGTTAGTTTGGATGGACTTTGTTTAATGTCAACGAACTAGTTATTTTTTTAGGACAAAACAGTTTGCTAAAAAATAGTTACCTCTGCACGAGGTCAAGTATGAAACTCGCTTGCGACTTGGCGACCTCGTGTAGTAATGACCTTAAAAACGCGGTTTTTCTACTACTTTTTTTTGTTAAGGTGTTTATTTCTTTGTTGTCGATATTGTGTTAAAGTTGTGAAGAGACGAAAAAATATTAAACCAGAAAGTGAAAATATGTGTTACTACCAAAAGTGGCGTTTCCAAAATCGCAGTGTCCATTTTTGGTATATATTATGTACAAAAAAAAGGGCAGAAAAAAACGAAAAGGATAAAAAAGAGTTAAAACAGGACAAAGTAAGCAAAAAAAAAGGTAAAAAATAAGAAATGGACCAAATGTCCACTAAAAAACAAAGTGATAAAAATTCGGCAAAAAATTTTAATAAAAGCAAAAAACGAAATAAAGGCAGGAAAGGAAAAGGCGATAAAAAAACGAAATAAAATCCATTAAAAGGGGAGCAAAGACGACAGAAAAAGATCCGAAAAAACAACAAATAAACGATTAAAAAAACTGGTCCAAAAAGAAAAAAAAGAGAAAATCGACAAAAAAAGTACGAATGAAAAAAGGCGGAAAAACGCATAAATAGCGAAAACAAAGTGATAAAAAAGGTGTCAAAGAATATAAAAAAAAAAGAAACAAAAGGACAGAAAAGACGATAGCAAAGGAGCCAAAATAGGTAACAAATAAACGATAAAGAAACAAAAAGTAGAGGTGTCTAAAAAAACGCTATAAAGAACAGACATTCAAAAAAGGGCATTATATACAAGGTTAAAAAAACTACCCAAAAAAGCGAAAAAAGCGACAATAAATGAGCAACCAACAAAGGTCAAAAAGTCAAAAAATGGTAAAAAAGCGACAAAAAACAGCGAAGACAAAGCGATAATAAAAGGGCGACGAAAATATAAAAAAACAACAAAGGAAAAGATGATGGTCAGAAAAACGACGAAAATCGAAAAAAAAGGAAAAAACACAAAAAAGGCGACTATAAAGCTTGACAAAGAAAAGCCTCATAAACAAATCTATTGAAAAGAACCAAAGAGAACAGAAAAAGAGGAAAAAAGGAGAAAAAACAATAAAAAAAGCGAGGAAAAAGGGCGATGAAAAAGCGACAAAAAAAAAGGCGAAAAATGTTGCAAGACCGACAAAAAAAAAAACGATTTAAAAAACGAAAAAGGGGACTAAAAATCCGCCAAAAATGGCTACAAAAAAAAAATTGCGAAAACAAAACGATATAAAAAGGTGTTAAAGACAACAAGAGTCAAAAAAGGCAAAAAAGACAAAAGAAGGTGGCAAAAAAATATGAGAAAAAGCGAAAAAAGCAGATAAAATAAGTAAAAATGCCAGAAATTAGTGAAAACAAAGCGATGAAAAAGAGGCAACAAGAAATGTGACACCAAAATACAATAAAAAAAAACACAATAAAGAAAAAGGCGACATAAAGGAAGAAACATTTCAAAAAAATGAAAGAAAATTGTGACAGGAGGAAGCGCAAAAAAGGGACTAAATAAAGTGACAAAGAGCGATAAGAAGCGAAAAATAAAAGGAAAAAAAAACGATAAAAAAATGAAATAAAGGCCAAGACGACAGAAAAAGAGCCAAAAGAAGACAACAATGATTAAAAAAACGAAAAATAGAGGTGAGTAAAAAACGCGATTAAAGAAAAAAACAATAAAAAAAGGGAAAAATCAACAAAAAAGACGCCAGAAAAAAGCTCCAAAAAAGGGTTACAAACACAAAAAATGGTGGAAAAAAGCTACAAAAAAAGCGAAAACAAAGTGATCATAAAAGTGCGACCAAAAAATAATAAAAAAGCAAGGAAAAGGTGACGAAAAGCTATACCGACCACAGAAAATGACGAAAAAATCTCAAGATATAAAAAAGAAAAAGAAACAAAAGGCAAAAAAGCAGATAAAAAAAACACGTATAAAATGAAAAAAATGCAACAAAGAAATGCTAAACGAGACAAAAAATAAAGAAAAAACACCAGAAATTAGTGAAAACAAAGCGATAAAAAAGAGACAATAAAAAGTGACAACGAAATACAATGAAAAGATACAACAAAGAAAAAGGCAAATTAAAGGAAGAAAAATTTAAAAAATGAAAGAACATGGAGACAGAATTATGGGCAAAAAGGGGTTAAAAAAAGGCGGACATAAAAGACAAAAAAGGCGACAAAAAACACCAAAAAATGACAAAAAAACGAAAAGTAGAGGTGACTAAAAAAGCTCCGTTAAAGAAAAAATGGTTAAAAAGGACAAAAAATGATATAAAAAAGGTTAAAAAAGTACCCAAAAAGGCGAAAAAAGCGACAATAAATGAGCAACCAAAGAAGGTCAAAAAGTCAAAAAAATGGTAAAAAAGCGACAAAAGAAAACCAGCGAAAACAAAGCGATAATAAAAGGGCGACGAAGGAATAAAAAAACAACAAAGGAGAAGATAATCGGCAGTAAAACAACGAAAATTGAAAAAAAAAGGAAAAAAAAACAAAAAAGGCGACTATAAAGCTTGACAAAGAAAAACGTAATAAACAAATCTATTGGAAAGAACCAAAGACAACAAAAAAAGCCAGAAAAAAAGGCGAAAAATGTTACAAAACCGGCAAAAAAAAATTATTAAAAAAGCGAAAAAAGGGGACTAAAAATCCCCCAAAAATGGCTACAAAAAGACCACAAAAAATGAGGAAAAAATTGCCAAAACAAAACGATATAAAAAGGTGTCAAAGAACATAAAAAAAAAAACGAAACAAAAGGCCAAAAAAGACGACAACAAGAGTTAAAAAAAGGCAAAAAAGACCAAAGCAGGTGGCAAAAAAAGATTAAAAAAATCGAAAAGAGCAGATAAAACAGGTAAAAATGACAAAAAAAAAGCGACAAATAAAGGCTAAAAGAGACAAAAGAATGAAGAAAAAATGCCAGAAATAATGAAAACAAAGCGATGAAAAAGAGGCAACAAGAAATGTGACAACAAAATAGAATAAAAAAACACAATAAAGAAAAAGACGACATAAAGGAAGAAACATTTCAAAAAAATGAAATAAAATCGTGATAGGAGGAAGCGCAAGAAAGGGACTAAAAAGTGACAAAGAGCGATAAGAAGCGAAAAATAAAAGGAAAAAACGATAAAAAAATGAAATAAAGGCCAAGACGACAGAAAAAGAGCCAAAAGAAGACAACAATGATTAAAAAATCAAAAGTAGAGGTGATTAATAAAAAAGCAAGCAAAAAGTGACGAAAAGCTATAAAGACCACAAAAAAGGCAGGAAAAAAGGCGAAAAATGTTACAAAACCGGCAAAAAAAAATATTAAAAAAGCGAAAAAAGGGGACTAAAAATCCGCCAAAAATGGCTACAAAAAGACCACAAAAAATGAGGAAAAAATTGCCAAAACAAAACGATATAAAAAGGTGTCAAAGAACATGAAAAAAAACGAAACAAAAGGCCAAAAAAGACGACAACAAGAGTTAAAAAAAGGCAAAAAAGACCAAAGAAGGTGGCAAAAAAAGATGAAAAAAAGCGAAAAGAGCAGATAAAACTGTATAAAACAGGTAAAAACGACAAAAAAATGCGACGAAAAAAGGCTAAAAGATATAAAAGAATGAAGAAAAAATGCCAGAAATTAGTGAAAACAAAGCGATGAAAAAGAGGCAACAAGAAATGTGACAACAAAATACAATAAAAAAACACAATAAAGAAATAGGCGACATAAAGGAAGAAACATTTCAAAAAAATGAAATAAAATGGTCATAGGAGGAAGCGCAATAAGGGACTAAAAAAGTGACAAAGAGCGATAAGAAAAATAAAAGGAAAACAACGATAAATAAATGAAATAAAGGCCAAGACGACAGAAAAAGAGCCAAAGGAAGATAACAATGATTAAAAAAACGAAAAGTAGAGGTGAGTAAAAAACGCGATAAAAGAAAAAAAAAAACAATTAAAAAAAAATGGGAAAAATCAACAAAAAAGACTCCAGAAAAAAGCGCCAAACAGGGTTCAAAAGACAAAAAATTGCCAAAAAAAAGCGAAAACAAAGTGATCATGAAAGAGCGACCAAAAAATAATAAAAAAGCAAGGAAAAGGTAACGAAAAGCTATAAAGACCACAGAAAATGACGAAAAAATCTCAAGATATAAAAAAGAAAACGAAACAAAACGCTAAAAAAGACGACAACAAAAGTCAAAAAAAGGCAAAAAAGACAAAAGAAGGTAACAAAAAAAGATGGGAAAAAGCGAAAAAGCAGATAAAACAGGTAAAAATGACAAAAAAATGCGACAAATAAAGGCTAAAAGAGACAAAAGAATGAAGAAAAAATGCCAGAAATTAGTGAAAACAATGCGATGAAAAAGAGGCAACAAGAAATGTGACAACAAAATACAATAAAAATACACAATAAAGAAAGAAACATTTCAAAAAAATGAAAGAAAATGGTGTTGGGAGGAAGCGCAAAAAAGGGACTAAAAAAGTAACAGAACAGCGACAAGAAGCGAAAAATAAAAGGAAAAAAACGATAAAAAAATGAAATAGGGGCCAAGACGACAGAAAAAGAGCCAAAAGAAGACAACAATAATTTAAAAAAAGGGAAAAATCAACAAAAAAGACGCTAGAAAAAAGCGCCAAAAAGGGTTAAAAAGACAAAAAATTGTGAAAAAAGCTACAAAAAAACGAAAACAAAGTGATCATAAAAGAGCGACCAAAAAATAATAAAAAAGCAAGGAAAAGCTATAAAGACCACAGAAAATCTCAAGATATAAAAAACAAAAAGAAACAAAAGGATAAAAAAGACGACAGAGCAAAAGCTAAAAAAAGTTAACGAAAAAAGATGGCAAAAAGGAAAAAAGCAGATAAACACGTATAAAATGAAAAAAATGAAGTAAAAACAACAGAAATTAGTGAAAACAAATCGATAAAAAAGAGGCAATAAAAAAAAGGGACAACGAAATACAATGAAAAAACACAACAAAGAAAAAGGCAACGGAAAGGAAGAAAAAATAAATAAAATGAAAAAAAAAACGAAAAGTAGAGGTGACTAAAAAAACTCCGTTTAAGAAAAACAGTTAAAAAAAGTACAAAAAATGATACAAAAAGGTTAAAAAAGTTACGCAGAAAAGGCGAAAAAAAAGCAACCAAAAAGGGTCAAAAGGACAAAAAATAAAAAAAACCTACAAAAAAATAGCGGAAACAAAGCGATAATAAATGGGCGACAAAAAATTAAAAAAAACGAAAAGGTGACGGAAAGAAAGACAAAAAATAAACGAAAAAAAAACGGAATTATAAGAAAAAATCAAAAGGAAGCAAGGATGGCAGAAAAAGAGCCAAAAAGCGAAAAAACAACAAAAAAAGCGAGAAAAAAGGCGACGAAAATGGCGAAAAATGGGACAAAGAAACGGCTACGAAAAGAACGATTAAAAAAGCGAAAAAAGGGGACTAATAAAATGGATAACTAAAAAATACGCAAAAAAGCTACAAGAAAGACCACAAAAAATGACGAAAAAAATTGCAAAAACAAAGCGATAAAAAAAGGTGTCAAAAAAATGAAACAAAAGGACAAAAAACAATAATAGCCAAAAAAGGCAAAAAAGACAAAAAAGGTAAGTAAAACGAAGAAACAGACAAAACAAGTAAAAAACGACAAAAATGCGACAAGGAGAGTCTAAAAGAGACAACAAAACAATCGGAAAAAAAACAACAAAGAAAAAGGCGACATAAAGGAAGAAAAAATGAAAGAAAATGGTGAAAGAAGCGCAAAAAGGAACTAAACAGGTGCAAATAAAAGACAAAAAAATTCGACAAAAGACCGATAAGAACGAAAAATAAAAGGAAAAAAGGCTATAAAAAAAATGCGATAAGAAATGAAATAAAGTCCATTAAAAGGGGAGCCAAAGCGACAGAAAAAGAGTCAAAAAAGACAACAAATAAATGATTAAAAAAACGAAAAGTAGACGCGATAGAAGAAAAAACAATTAAAAAAAGGGCAAAATCGACGAAAAAGCTTAAAAAACAGCGAAAACAAAGCCATAATAAAAGGGCCACAAAAACATACTAAAAAGTCGGAAAATGCGACAAAGAAACAACGACAACTGACTAATAAACAAAATCCAGAAAAGGCGACAGAACAAGGGCTAAAATAGGCAAAAAAGGGATAAAAGGTAGCAAACACTATTAAAAAAAAAGCGAAAAAAGCTATAAAATGGGTACAAATGACAAAAATGCGACAAAGAAAGGATAAAAGAGGTAAAAATGAAGAAAAAGCGGCAGAAATTAGTGATAAAAAGAGGCAATAAAAAAGTGACAACAAAATGCAATTAAAAAAAACCACAACAAGAAAAAGGCAATAAAAAGGAAGGAACATAAAAAAATAAAATAAAATGGTGGTAGAAACAGGTGCAAAAAGGGAACTAAAAAAGGTGACCAAAAACGACAAAAGACTGATAAAATGCGAAAGAAAGGACTAGAAAAAAGCCAAAAATGTCTCAAAAAAAAAAAAACAAGCTAGAAAAAAGATAACAGAAGTAGAACGACAAAAATGGCGGGAAAAACGGGAAAAAAGCAATAAAAATTGACAAAACAGAAGAAGTTGGATCTAAAATGAAGGGCTTAAAACAGAAATATATCAGAATATAATTATTGTAAACTCGTATTAATACGTTACTACGAATTCTTAGATAAGTAAGCAAAAAATCGCACTAGAAATTTAAAGAGTAATTTTTTCAAACTAGTAACAATCACAAAAGTAGAACAGGTAGTGCCGTTTTAAACTTTGTATATACACTGGGATCTCACCTTCGTAAATCAACTCAGAACTGATTCAATTAAACTTTGATTCAAAGCCGACAGGTTTGAAACGGAAGCAAATCAATTATAAGTTACGACTTTCTTTTAATGAAGTTTCTAACACGTGTATTACGCGAAAACTTTACAGCTTAATTAAAAAAGTCTCAGCCAATAAACTAAATTTGTAAAGACGAAACGTGTTCCTGGAGGCTTTCTGCACGATCCAGGGTATATATACATATGTATGTATATTAATACAATGATTTTACAAAACGGAACAAAACAATAATTCTAGAATTCAAAACGAACCACACAAAGTCCGCGGTCTCTCTAAAACCCCAAGTATAAAACTCCTTCAAAGTTGGAAAATAGTTCTCTCGGGACCGCTTATACCGTCTAGTTGTAGCAACCCAGCCCGAAATTCTATCCCACATCCACTCTTTTTTTCTCTCTAGTCGTTATTAAATTTCATTTTTATTTACTCAGCTCCGCTCAGTGGGAAATGTCCGTCGTGCACTTTAATTCCACAATCTACATACTATACTTTTCTATCAACACGCCCGTTAATATACCCCCCGCTGCGAAAAAACGAGCAAGAAAGCAGAAATGATATCCGAGCTTGTATTATAGCTGCCACACTTTTTATTTTCATTTTCAATTAATCCGAAAGGAGTTTCATTTCACCTCCTGCTGTTTCCCGACGCGAAATAATATCAAAGCGGACGGCGAGAATCTTAAAACTTGCCTTAACAGAAATTACATAAGTTCGATTGGATCTGCGAGCTAATCCCAGTGGGGTCAAATGGGCCCTTAAGTGGTCCAGATGACTAGGACGTTCAATATGACTTGTTGCCGAATAAACTACTTGAAAGTGCCGACACGGAATTGCTGGTCGCAGTATGTACACAGCAACAATAGCGAGTCGAGAGAGAATTGGTTAAATCAATCAATAACGGCAACACGAGAGGATTAGGGGTTGAGACAAGTGGTAGTGTTACAAGTATTTGAATCAGTTAATTGAAGGTTATTAGATTACCTTGCGTTCATCCAGCAGTAGATGATGGGGTTGTACATGGAGTTGCTCATGGCCAGCCAGTAAATAGCCAGGTAGGTTTCCTGGATGTAAGTAGAGTTGGTGATTTCAGGGAAGTAGGAAGTCACGATGAAGTAGAGGTGATATGGAAGCCAACACACGGCGAAGATGATCACCACCACCATCATCATCTTCACGACCTGAAAAGAGCAAATTTTAGGTCAAAAAAAGGAAAAATAAATTTTACGCAACGCCGGGTTTCCTTTGTTTTATTTTATTATTTTACCCACATAATCATAAATAAAAATACTTATTATTGTTACTTATAAAAAAAGAACGTCTAGAGTGAATCTGAGAGAATCCGACAAAATCCGAAAGAATATAAGAGAATCAGATTAAATTTACTTACTTACTTACTTACTTTATTGACGGAAAAACATCCTTAAACAATACAAAGAAAAAATAATAAAATCACATGAGAATGTTACAATATTTTTAAAATAAGATTTGCCTTAACTTAGTTTGAAATTTAGGAAATGTATCTGAATAAAAATCAATTCTGCTATAAATAGAATTGCAAGTAAATAATATATTATTAAGTGGTGAAAACAACAAATAATTCGTAAAATTAAATTTAATGTAGAACAAGGGAGCTTGTCTAACATTGAACTGAGGAACATAGAAGTTAATAGAATTCAGAATGTCAGAATCGCACATATTGTTTAGAAGTTTATACATAAAACAAATTTTGTGAAAATCACGACGTACACTTAATAAAGACAAACCCAAATAAGATTTACTAAGACTAGTAGAATGAGAGACCTTAAGTGGTAATTTGAACAAAATAGATTTGACAAACTTATTTTGAATGCGTTCAATTCTATTCTTATGTATCTGATATATAGGATCCCACAGTATGCACCCATATTCCAAGACTGAACGGACCAATGATGAATATAATATACTAGAGAAGTACGAATATCATTAAAATCATGACAGTATCTCTTTATACACCCTAATACTTTATTAGCTTTTGAAACAATATATTCACAATGCAGGACAAAGGATAATTTGCTGTCTAAAATGATACCAAGGTCTTTTACGGAAGAAACAACTTTTAAGGAATTATTGTCAATAGCATAACACGGAATTGATGCCAGAATTTTACGACTAAAACATATTACTTGACATTTGCTATAATTTAATTTCATTAAGTTATCCTTACACCACAATGAGAGAGAATCTAAGTCGCTTTGCAGTAAAAACATATCGTTACTATCCCTAATAGTTTTAAATATTTTTAAGTCATCAGCGAACAGGCTAAAATTACATTTGAGTATATTAGACACATCATTTATATAAATGGAAAAGAGCAAAGGCCCGAGAATTGACCCTTGTGGGACCCCAGAGGTAATAATCTGTGAAGACGAGAAGCAATTTTTGAATTTCACAATCTGGGATCGATTATCAAGGTAACTAGTAAACCATAGAAGTAGATGACCAGAGACACCATAAGCGCTAAGTTTATTTATTAATATTTTATGACTAATTTTGTCAAAGGCCTTGCTGAGGTCAGTATACACAGTGTGAACTTCAGCACTCTCAGAAAATGACTTAATAACGTTATCAGTAAAACTTAACAAATTAGTTATAGTTGACCTTTTACGAAAAAAACCATGCTGATTCAAAGAGATAATATTTTTAAAAGCATAAGAAATATGAGTGTATACTATCGATTCCAATATCTTACAAGGTGTTGATAGGATGGAAACAGGCCTATAATTTTCAATGGAAGACTTACTACCTGCTTTATGTATAGGTACAACATGAGTCACCTTCCATAATGACGGAAACTTACCAGATTGTAATGATAAATTGAACAACAATTGCAGCGGTAATGCTAAAGACTTACCACAGTTCTTATAAAATTTTGGAGGAACGAAATCAGGACCAGCTCCCTTGTTAGAATCAATCATATCTAACGCACTTTTAACATCTGTCAAGTGAATGTTAATTTTATCAATATTAACCACTGAATCAAAAACAGCATTAAAATTAGGATTAATAACGTTACAATATACAGAGCCAAAGTAATTACTAAAACATTGACAAATATCAATATCATTATAAAAAATTTCATTGCCCAATCTCATTGGCAGTGGCATTTGACAATTAGATTTTGTGCGGATAAATTTCCAAAAGTTACTGGGATTTAACAACAAATCATTTTGAATATTAGAGATATGTTCACTATACGCACTCTTAATCATAACTTTACATAAACTTCTCAAATTTACAAATTTCACATAGTCTGTATTAGTACTAGTTCTTTTAAATTGCTTGTGAGCAATTTTCTTTGCCTTTATAAGATTTATAATATCACGACTAAACCACTTGGGATACGAAGAAGTTACTTTGCGTTTGACTGGTACAAATTGCTCACAAGCAGCATGTACATGTTCATAGAAAATATTTACTGCATCATCAACATCAACGATATTATCAAAAATTGAATACCAATTAATACCAGAAAAATAGCTACAAATATCAACGTAAGATACAGAGTTAAAGTCAAAATAGTATTCAACTTTATTACAATTCATATCAATGAAGCAGTCAAGAACAACTTCAATCAAAAGAGGTGGATGACTAGCATCAATAATACTAAGGGAATTACACAATGACAGGTTACAATCATCTAAATTAGTGAAACATAAATCTAGTACATTACCAGCTATATTTTTAAAACAATTCAACTGGTGTAAACCACATGCAGAGAAAGAATCGCAAATGTGACATTCACATAGCCCTGCGGATGAAAAAGGAACATAACCATTAAACTCATCATCAGGATGCCACACGATGTTGGGTAAATTATAGTCACCAACCAGGAAAATATAAGAACTGACATTTTTTTCACATATATCATTTACTGTTTCAGTATGCACTACGTATTTACCAATTCCAGAATCAGGAGGTAGGTAAACTGTTCCTATAATAATGTCAACTGAACCAACAGTTATTTTTACAAATAACTGCTCAACAGTATTTACATTTAATAATATCTCACTAGATAAAAATGTTTTCAAAACAGCTATGAGAACCCCACCTCCGCGCATTTTACTACTGTTGAACATGTTACGATCACACCTGTACACAACGTATCTGTTGTCAAATAACTCACTACTGTTAACTTCAGGATAAAGCCATGTCTCAGTCAAGACAATTACACTAAATTCTTCAGAGAGACACTCACAATAAAAATCACTTATTTTAGTGTTCAAACCCCTGACATTTTGATAATATACTCTAAAATTGCTTTTGTGTAAGGAGTTACCTATGACATTACTTTACCTTATACTGCGAAAAAAATGAAACTTCTTTATAACTACTCCAGAAGGCCAAATATCTTCACAAAGTAATTTATTAAACATGTCCTCATCAACAGTTATTTTAAACGCAATACTCCTGGCTGAGTCTCTTTTGGGTAGTTGTTCAACCTCAAAATTTCTTTCTGGAAATTTCGACATGAGATAATCTTGAATTGCATTAGACTTAACAATCTAGAGATAAATTGCCAACATATATATATCGTTTTTTAATTGCAGCTTTAAAGGTCAAATTGCCCCCTTCAAGTTTACCTTTAATAATATTGACTTTTTTCTTGTTATGAATAACCTTTTAAAACCATCAATTTCGACAGAATACGAGAGAATCCAACTAAATTCAAAGAATAACGTAAGGAATAACGAATAATTGAAGAGAATACGAGAGAATTCGACCATATCCGAGAAGATCTGGAAGAACCCGAAGGAACCCGAGAGAATATAACAGAATCCGGCAAAATTCCGAGAAGATATCGAGAGAATCCGGAAGAATCCATAAGAATCGAAGAGAATGTGGGAGAAACTGGACTAATCTAAGAGATTCTGAACAAGTTAAAAAGAATCCGATAGAATGTGAGAGAATGGAGAATAATCTTAAAGAGTCCGAGAAAATCCGAGGGAATCCAATTAAATTCCAAGAGGATTGGAAAGAATCGTGAAGAATTCAAAACATCCCAAAGAAACCGAAATGAATCTAAGAGAATTTCGGAGAATCTAAGAAAATCTGACAGAATTCGAAAGAATGCCAGAGAATACGAGAGAATTCGGTCATATTCCGAGAGGATAGGAGAGATTCCGGAAGAATATAAAAGAATCCGGCAAAATTCCGTGAAGATAGGCGAAGATCCGAAAAATCCAGAAGAAATCGAGAAAGTCTGAAAGAATCCATAGAGATCCAAAGGAATGTGGGAGAAAATGGAATATTCTAAGAGAATCTGAAAAAACCGAGAGAATATGAGGCAGCTGAGAAAACCCAAAAGAATTCTGAAGAACTCAAAAAGAATCCAATAGAATAACCTTAACAATGGAGAGAATCCGAGAGAATCCAACGAAAGTCCAAGAGGATTGGAAAGAATCTTGAAGAATCCAAAATAATACAAAAGAATACGGGAGAATCTGGCTAAATTCCTGGACGATAAGAAAAAATCCGGAACAATGCGAAATAAACCGAAAGAGAATGTGGGAGAAACCGGAATAATCTAAGAGAATCTGAAAAAACCGAGAGAATATGAGGCAGCCGAGAGAACCCAACAGAATTCTGAAGAACTCAAAAAGAGTCCTATAGAATGTGAGAGAATGGGGAACAATCTTAAAGAGTCCGAAAAAATCCTAGAGAATCTAACGAAATTCCAAGATGATTGAAAATAATCCTAGAGAATATAAAATAATGCAAAAGAATACGAGAAAATCTGGCTAAATTCTGGAAGGATAAGAAAAAATCCGGAAGAATTCGAAAGAAACCGAAAGAATAGAAATCCAAGAGAATGTTGGAAAATTTGAGAAAATCTGACGGAATTCGAAAGAATGCCAGAGAATACGAGAGAATTGGGCTAAATTCCTGCAGGAATGGAGAGAATCCGGAAAAGTTCATAAAAATTCAAGAGGATGTGAAAGAATACAAAAGAATTTGAGAAAATCCGACAGAATCTGAGAAAATACGAGAGAATAAGAGATAATAATCCAACTAAATTCCAAGAGGATTGGAAAGAATCGTGAAGAATTTAAAACATCCCAAAGAAACCGAAATGAATCCAAGAGAATGTTGGAGAATCTAAGAAAATCTGACAGAATTCGAAAGAATGCCAGAGAATACG